CGGAGGTTCCATTTTAGTTTATATAAATGTTTTAAAAGCCAGCAAAGGTTAATTAGTCACCCTTATAAATTTGTGTAAGATTATAAAATTTTAGCTTCTAACTAATTAGATAGATGAAAAGATGAACCATTTGGCAGAATTTGCATTTTGAGACTCGAATATATTTTTTTAGTGTATTTAGTGATAATGTGCATAAATTTAGTCTTTGCATGCCCCAAAACATCCATAATGAAAAGTAATTTAAATTGAGAAGACTTTAATTCGCTTCAAATATTCCCTACCTCTATATAAAGACAAGAAAAGCAGGAACACATCTGAAAGTGTGGCAGTATTCTGGTGATTTAGGAATGATTTTGGAGGTTGCCAAATAGGAGAATTGAAGAACAAGCTTTAATTCAAAATAAGGCTATGATATTTAGCATACCAAAAGTACAAGTGAGGAAGGAATAATATTGCGAAGTGAATAGAAAAGTAAAATCAAGCTAAGATGACTCAACTGTATAAAGCTCAATAGTCATGCTGTTATAACAGCAATTTTACATGGAAAGATAGCAAGATAGTAATAGATAAACAATGTACTTTTAATTTAAATTCAAACAGGAATTTTTGCTAAGGGTTAATGAGATATAGGCACTATGAAGCACATCATCGGAGAAGACATAATAAATTGTGATTCAATGCATACCTATTCAACGAAAAATGGAAAATCTCTTAGGTGACCCATTTCAATAAACAATCAAGCGTAAGCAAATATGAACGCAGGAATCACTAGGATGACAAGCTTGATAAGCGATTAAGAAAAAGATAAGTAACACGGAAGAATATTCCCACAAGAATAAAAATTTAAATAGTGTGCAGCTTACTGCCAGCATATTCCGGGTTCTAAATTAAAGCTGGATTTCAGTGTAGCATAAATATTTCCACTTCCCGTGAATGTTCTAAGTCGCCTCACATGCTTTGCAGAGCCGTTTTCTTGCTTAGACATTTCAAAGGAAGAAACAGCGTAATACCGACCATCAGCCCTCCAAGCGATTTCACAACGATGATCATCCCACAGAGAGAACTCACCATCAGACTTTAAAATAATGAGAAATAAAAGAGTTGGAAACTAATAAGCGGTAGAAAAGAATTCTCTTATAGAAGCCCCTAAATCAAAAATAAAAACTCTCACAATATAGAAAAAAGCGATATTTAAGATATTTTAAAAGATTCAAAACAATTTAATGTATTATTAGCCATTTTCATAATGCAGAGAAATCCATAATGCCGTAAAAATCATTATCATTTATCTACAGAATTTGAATCCATAATAGCAGCGCATTTGCCGATAGATCCATGAAATTGAGTTTCCTTCCGACCCCATCCAACGCTAACAGGTTCAGCTAAGGCAAAAATCATATAAAACAAAAATACCAGTGCCATGTTCACACTGCAGAAGGTCAATCGAAGAAAGAATGTCTAAGGAGGAGGAAATATGATATAGCAACATATGCTCTGCAAATTAAGAAATACATTATACCAGTAATAACTGCGGCAGTAGACAGTTCAGAATTGAACTTTGCAACAACCAATGGGCCTAAGGACAATTGATTAACAATCTTTTAATATTAATAATAAAAAATAACCTCTCCTGTTTGAGTTTGAAGAATAATGATGACTGATTTACAGAAAATACACAAAATAGAATCATTAAGAAATTCTGCGTTGATAATTTGGCCAGTTTCATCATTTGCTTTGAAGATCTATACTTATAGTGTCTAGGCAATACATACTTCTCTGCGTTCACTGAGAGTAATCACCTCCGAATCTCCATAAAACATAATTTCTCCATCATATTCATCAATACAAATGGATCTAAAGCAATTAATTTCGTATCTTAAAGAGCTTCGGGATATGCATTTAAGATTGAGCATGAGTTGCAATTCACGTGCACTAAAAATACGCAAAACAATTCAATAACTATAAACAAAATAACCTTTACTTATCTAAAATTATTTTTATTTGTATTTTCAGATAAAATTAATTGCTGGAGATTTTTTATTTTTATATTAAATGTGACCTTAATTTGATGCGGCTGAATCTGTTGATCCCCATTTGTTATCGTTGCAATTATTATCGGCCCAACATGAGCAACTGTGAAAGTGAAAGTGCATCTGAAAATTTAACCGAAGAGCAGATTTCAGAATTTAAAGAAGCCTTTTCATTATTTGATAAGGATGGTGATGGGGCTATTACGATCAAGGAACTTGGAACTGTTATGCGTTCCCTTGGACAGAATCCTACAGATGACGAACTTCGCGATATGATTAACGAAGTTGATGCTGATGGCAACGGAACTATTGATTTTCCTGAATTTTTAACCATGATGGCTAGAAAAATGAAAGACACTGATATAGATGAAGAAATCAGGGAGGCTTTTCGTGTCTTCGACAGAGACGGAGATGGTTATATTTCAACTAGTGAACTGATGCACGTCATGAATAATCTGGGAGAAAAGTTAACAACTGAAGAGATAGTGGAAATGATAAAAGAAGCAGACATAGATGGCGATGGTAGAGTGAATTATGATGAATTTGTTGAAATGATGCTTCGAAAATAGGAAATTCCTAAAAATATTATTTCGAAAAATTATTGTCTATATATAATGTAAAAAGTCAAACACATATGTGAAATCTGCTACTTTATGAGATAGCTTCTTTCTCAACCACACATCTATATTACTACCCACCTGACAACAAGTCTTGGAGTGACAGCGCCGCCAGTACAATGATCTTTTTTGGTATACTATTTGATAATTAATAAATCATGCAAGATAAAATACTATTCAATGAATTCTTGTCTATTATGACAAATTTCGCCTAACCTATTTTTCAATATACTTAGTTTCTTTGATCTATTTTCGCATCTTCATGTATTGCAGGATAATTTATATCTTGAAACATAATAGTTAGCAATAATATATGAATTATCTTTTCTACATTTGCTGTGAAGAAATGAATATTATTGGGTAATAGTGCCAAAGTACTATCTTCATTAGATTTAGCGTTCACATTTAATCAATTAATTATAGTCATGCTTGTTTAGAAACTTACTAAGGATCTTACTCGTAATTTTAAGGGATTTTTAAAATGCCATTTCTTAGTCACTATTGTGCGATGAAGTTATGTAACGTAGAAAGCTGTTTCAAATAGTTATAAATATAAGTAGTTAATAGGTGACATTTGATAGGTTTTACTCTATTGTGATTATTTTTAATAGCACATTTTGTATACTCTATGGTCCTGACCAATAATAGTTAAAACTAATATTCCAGGACAAACCAACATTTAATTGCATGATCAGCATATATTATGATCTATGAATAGTGAGTTTTGACCTTAATTTTGTGTTGCCCATATAGATAGCGTTCTTTCACGTCTGTAACCAAATGTAGTCGCATCAATGAGTTGGTAAAGACTAAAATGGGAGACGGGTAAAAGGGGCCCCTTAGTGACAAGAAAGACATCAAGTTCATGTAGTTTTTTTCGATAAAAAAATAATTTAGATCGCAAATATGAAGATCAAGCTGGTATGGCCTTCTGTTTGATCACAGGCCAAACCTATTCACTAGCTTTCACACCCAACATGAAGAAGCCAACAAAATGGAGTGCTTCGAAGTTTACGGAATAAACTGCAAAGACTGTAAACAAAAATACATTGGAGGGACGGAAAGAAGAATCAGAGCAAGGATCAAAGAACACCAGCGACTATGCATAAAAATGGATATGAAAAGGTCTGAAATGGCTGAATGCATCGTCCATACTGACCCCATAATTGCCTGGAATGCAATGAAAAGACTGGGCTCATATGGGACAACAGGAAACGGAAGATCAGGGAGGCTGTGAAGATCCTCTTTCAAAGAAGCCGGATGAACCGGTGATTAGAAGGGGGAAGAGTCAGCGATACTTTGACTTACTGCCTGGACAGACTTGGAGATCCACCAAAGACATTGAAAAGAAGACGTTTGGACCCAGGATAGCTGTCCAACAACAGGAAGAGACATCGCTAAGGAGCGGCTCATGAGGAACAAAGGCAAGTCAAGAAAAGGCGATTGCAGTGAGAGGAGTCAAACCTGGAATCGGCTAAAAATTTACTTGGGGGAGGGGTCCATCTGTGGGGTGTGGAATAGGAAATAAAAGGTTAAAAGTATAGATGATCCAGATATAGGTCACCAGTATGTATTCGTATGTGCTTTTGTGCAGTTTTTGTGTTGTGCCCTAATGAGAGGTGACTGATGACATGCTTGATCACGGGGGGTACCAATAAACACACACATGGATATCATAGCACCCTAGGAGTAGATGGGAATGTCAACTCGAAGGACAACAAGAGTGTGCTTTTCTTGAATTATGAGGGTAAGAATGCAAACGGTGCACTTCACACCAGGAGTTATAAATTAAGTCGGACACAGGGCCTCAAAAGAATGGGATAAAACGTGGGTAGGGATAAGAAAGAAGATAACTGAGTCATGGGTCTTAGGCCTAGGAACAAAGATTCCCAGGCATTGGCAAGGAAATGAGCTCGGGCATGGGCATAAGCACCATCTGCTCTAAATCCTCGAATATGGCATAAACGATGACGG